GTTTCTGTGATAGATCACTGAGTATGATACACTCTAAATCCATCCAAGTGGCTGCAAAGTCCATATGTTTGATTATGGATCACTTTTCTATCATGAAAAATGTAAACATTTATTTTTTAATCTTAAATTTGCCTTTTAATTTCTTAATGATATTGTATTTATATATTTTGAATCTCTTAAATCAAACTCATCAGTTATGAACACTGGTGATTAACCCTGCTGGATTTAATACATCCCCCACTTGAGAGTATTCTTTGATACTTTCCTTGTATTTCATAAGGAAAAACTTTCATACATGTCTTCCATTTCGCTTTAATGTTTTGTGTTTCATTTCTTCTTCTTATGTGTGTGGATCACATGCTTGAACCTCTTCTGAGAAGAATTCACATGGCAGGTATTCTTCAAAAGAAAGAGGCATAAAGATCCTTATAAATTGGAGTGCTTCATGGCAGTCAAAAAAGGTAACAGATCTGTTGTATTCATAATGATCAGAATTCTTTCCTTGATGATTGCCCTAGTTTAAAGGGAATAATCATGAAAGACAGGCATAAAAGACAGATTTTTTGTGATGTTAAGGACAGAAGTTCATATTTATGAAATGTCCATTGTATGTCATAGGAACTACAATAAAAAAATTGCATCTATTATTTTATTTCATTTTTCCCTTCCCACTGTAGACGTGAGGTGTCTGCAGCTACGAGAGATTAAATAACATTATCAAGGTCACACAGTAGTAAACAGGTAAATCAAAATTCTATTTCAGAAAGTCTTACTCAAGAAACCATTTTCTAAACTATAGCTTTATACTCTACCTTGAGAGAGTTATACATCTAAAATTATTATCCTAAACGGAAAAGTTTAATGATAATGACAACTATCATTTATTGAAACTTGTATTATGTATAAAGGCATTTTGCTTTTATTTTATTTTTTGAGTTGGGGTCTCACTCTGTTGCCCAGGCTGGAGTGCAGTGGCATGATCATGGCTCACCACAGCCTCAAACTCTTGGGCTCAGGTAATCCTCTTGCCTCAGTCTCCCAAGTAACTGGAACTGCAGGCACATGCCATGATGCCTGGCTAATTTTTTATTTTTTGTAGAGATGAGGTCTCACTATGTCGCTCAGGCTGGACTTGAACTCCCAGGTTCAAGCAATCCTCCTGCCTCAACCTTCCAAATTTCAGGTATTACAGGTGTGAAGTGCTATGCATGGCCTACAAAGGCAGTTTTAAATCTCTCAAACAAAATGATGATGATAATTATTTTTTTAGAAAAATAAATTACAACGCTACTGGGAGCTAACTGCCACATCACTTTGTAGTGTCAGGTCACAGAATAAAGGCTATATTCAAAATACATGTCTTAACCATATTGTAGATCTCTTAGAATGAAAAAACAGTACAATAATTATCAAGAAAAGACACGACATGTCTTCAATTATTTGGAGAGGTCATATCAAATAAAAAATTAGTTAATGTTTATAGGCTCAAATAGAATAATTAAAAATAGTGTACAGATGAAAAAGCAGGAAGACACTATAAGAAAGAGATTGGCAGCAGTGGGATACTGCAAAGGTGGTGGTGGTGGGAGCACAATATCAATAAGGTAGCTGATCTCAAATCAGACAAAGTGGGGACCAAAGGGAGGCCCAAACTTTACCTGTATGATGTCCACTTGTATACTAAATCCTGAATTGTACCACACAGCTTTAAAATAATATTTTTAAGAAAAAGTAGGAAGATTGCTGATGACTAGCAGAAGTCTGAATGACTCTACACACTTAAAATGGAAGTGAGCTACCACTTGCTCCATGAGCCATGGTGTTTGGAAGGACTCTTTGGATGGTGATGAGCATCCACCCAAGGAAGCGATTGTGAAGTGATAACAAGGTGAGGTGCCAATTGGCTGTTCACTGAATGTGGCTTTTGCCTCGTTCCCCAGCAGACATACCAGCCTCATGGAAGCAGAAAACTGCACAAAATCATCAGAATTCCTCCTCTTGGGCCTCTCAGAAAATTCTGAATTGCAGCCCCATCTCTTTGGGCTGTTCCTGTCCATGTACCTGGTCACGGTGTTGGGAAACCTGCTCATCATCTTGGCTGTCAGCTCTGACACTCTTCTCCACACTCCCATGTACTTTTTCCTCTCCAACCTGTCCTTTACTGACATCTGTTTAAGCACAACCACGATCCCCAAGATGCTGGTGAACATCCAGACACAGCGTAAAGACATATCCTACAGAGGGTGCCTCACTCAGGTGTACTTTTCAATGAGTTTTGCTGGAATAGATCATTTCCTACTGACGGTGATGGCCTATGACCGGTTTGTGGCCATCTGCCACCCTCTGCACTACATGGCCATCATGAATCCCTGCCTCTGTGGCCTCCTGGTTCTGATAACATGGCTAATCATTTTCTGGGTCTCCCTGCTTCATGTTCTATTGACAGTGCGGTTGACCTTTCCTGCAGGTACTGAAATCTCACATTTCTTCTGTGACCTGCCTCAGCTTCTCAAGGTGGCCAGCTCTGATACTTTCATCAACAACATTATCTTATATGTGGCCACTGCACTACTGGGGGTGTTTCCTGTCACTGGGATTCTCTTCTCTTATTCTAGAATTGTCTCCTCCGGGATGAGGATGTCCTCCACTGCAGGCAAGTATAAAGCATTTTCCACCTGTGGCTCTCACCTCTGTGTGGTCTCCTTGTTCTATGGAACTGCACTCGGGGTGTACCTCAGTTATGCTGTGACCCGTTCTTCCCAGGGAAGCTCCATTGCCTCAGTGATGTACACCGTGGTCACCCCCATGCTGAACCCCTTCATCTACAGCCTGAGGAACAAGAATATGAAGGCGGTGCTGGAAAGACTCTTGAGAAGACCAACTTTTTGTCTCTGACAGATCATGACCTCAAAACCAATCACATGTTGTTGAGATGGGTAAATGGTTGAAGAGATGTTTTAGCTTTCTATTGGGG